GAGGGGCTGCCCTCCGGCTGCGGCCAGAAGGTGAGAGCCACGTCTCGTGGGTCCTCTGCTGGTCTGCAGGAAAGACAACGGCCGTATCCCGCTCAGAAAACTCCCCCCCAGCTCCGCTCGGCCCGTGCTGTTCCGGAGCCGATGGAGGGCCCCTTTAGGTCGCCTGTTCCCGTGACATCAGGACACTGATCCACGTGTCAGAGGATGTCTCTGTTGGAACAGTTAGGAGATTCATAGATTCATAGATTTCTAGGTTGGAAAAGACCTTAGAGATCATCGAGTCCAACCATCCCTAATCCCCATTAAACCATATCCCTAAGTAGATCATCCACCCTATTCTTAAACACATCCAGGGATGGGGACTCAACCACCTCCCTGGGCAGCCTATTCCAGTGGCTGACAACCCTTTCAGAGAAGAAATACTTCCTAACATCCAACCTGATGGTCCGTCTGATCCAGTTACCTGTCTCTGCTGTCCCGGTGTCTTGTTTCTGTGCTGTGTTCAGTCACGATGCCGAGCCCTCCGTAAGTTCCCAAATGGAGCAATTTTTTTTCCTCACCTTCTGCAGCGTGACTCTTACTCATTCTCAAGCATGAAGAAATGAGCCCTTGTGATTTATTTTTTTTGTCCTTGGTAGCACAATTATCTCCACATTGGATGAACTAGTTTCTTTGTCTCAGAAAGATCAGCTCTAACGAAACATCTGTTTCTGCTTTGGGTTTTTTTGTTGTTTGTTGTTCTTTTTTCCCCCGCTGAACACTCAGCTCTGTTCCCTGTTAACCGAGAGGGCTGAGCGAGGGAAAAGGAGAGGTCACAGGACCTATGTAAGGTCATTCAGTGATGCAAGAAGGTCAGACTGTAAGACCTTGCCAGATCATTGTCATTTGTCCTATTTAAGTGGTTTCCAAACTTTTCCTCCTCTCCTCCAACCTCTAGGTCACCCCCCCTCCCCACTATTTCTCCTGGCACTTCTGGAGTCCCAGATGTCCCTCGCTTCCACTCCAGTGTTTGAAGCCCAAGAGCTCGGCAGCCCCAAGCCTGGGAACCCACCGCTGGCTCCTGGCGCTCTCCCTGGAAGAGGGTTAGGAAAAGTAGCTGTTCTTCCTTTTCTTTCCAGTCAGATGAGAAGACCTGCGAGGATTTAGCAGAAGGCGACCGTTATCCAGCACCCCCTGACAGCTCTCTCCCGCCGCTGGATGTGGATGTCACCACCTCCACGGCCTCACTCTTCATCGACAGCCTCACGACGGAAGGTAGGGGCAGGCGGGGGGAGCAGGGACACGTCCTCCACGCTTGTCCCCATCACTCCGATGCCAAAAAGCCAACTCAGAGCCAAATAAACACCACCACAAACCCGTCTTGGAAGCAGAGGGCAAGAACCCAGCACAGGCTCGTGATCGCCCTCCGCTCGCCAACGGTGTTCGTTCCAGCACAGGAAAGCTCCACGTAAGGACCCGAGTTTCCCTCGGGACACCCGTGTTCCAACGCTTGATAATCCCATTAACACAGGGCTGGCTCCTCCGATCCTAGCGGCAGGTATCGCTTCAATTTTGCTGCTTAATAGTCCCTAACGCAAACTGCTAATTAGAATAAATAAGAAGGAACGTTGTTAATTGTCCTTCAGCAACGGGAAGGAGCTGGGGGGAGGCAGGGAGAGCCTGGCTGGCAGAGCTGACTTTGAAAGGAGCAATTCGAGGGAGGGGGAGCGTGACCCCACCACGGAGATGATTTCCCGACTCACCACCAATTCTTGGAAAAAAGAACAAGAGGCTTTTCTGGGACATAGTCAAGCATGAAGTTAATTCGTAATCTTGGAAGGGAACGAACAGCCCAGCTGCATCAGGCAGCGAACTTTATCCGGAGAAGCACAGCAAAGGATCAAGCCAAGCGCGGGAGCGGACCCGCCCCGGCTGCCCCGGCGCGCCGGCTCCGCTCGCCGAGATGTTTGGGAACGCGTCCGACGCGCTGGTCGTGTGTCAGCCAAGCGGAGTGGGAATTCTGGGTCAGGATCTCAGCTGGACTCGTGAGGGCGGTGATGTGGAGACCATCAAGACATGAAGCTTCGTACATTCCTGGTTCTTCCGGAATGAGATGAAGAATGGAACTGGGTTTTGGGCCCCTATGGAAGGCAGCTCCAGCGTTACATCCCATCGATTTATTCGGGATGTGTTAGCAGCGTATTGCTGCCGATGCCGCAGCCTGCACCCCGGCACCCATCCAGCACCCCCTTAGCGCTCCGCTTTGCACATCGAGTGTGTTTGAAGACCAGTTCCCTCAGACGTTTGTGTTCCGGGTGCCACCTTTGTGAAGGAAGACCACAAACCCTAAGCCACGTGCTGGCACTATTGTTGCCCTCTGGGTGCCTTCCTCTTCTGCCAAACTCAGAGGTTTAAAACTGCCACTGGCCACAGAAGTGCTGTGCCAGAGGCGTGATCCGTCAGGGGCCCCGTTACGGAGGCGTGGAAGCGGGTGGGAAGCATGTAGGGGATCACAGAAGGCTCCTGACTTTATTTTTTTTGCCTTTGTTTTCTTCTTTTAGACGACACGAAGCTCAATCAGTACGCAGGAGGCGAAGGTAAGCCCTTCATCTCCTCCCTGCCTGCTCACCGGCGTTCCGAGCAAAAACATGTTATTGGGAATCAAACGCACCGGGGATCCGCCGGTGGGGCGGATGGGTGAAACTGGGGCTGGAGGATGGCATCAGGATGAGACTCCTGTTGTCTGTACCCTGTTAATGCTGTTTCAGGTAGTGAAAAGCGGGAGCCAGGACCAATCCGTTTTACCCTGCTGCTCTTTGTCTGCTTTTCCCACTTGGTCCTGCTGTGCAAACTAAGACGATGCGTTTTCTCTTTCCGTGTAATTCCCTTTCTTTGCAGTTTTTGCATGGACACAAGGTCCTTTTTTTCGCTTGGATTGCCCCAGCTGGGCCAAAGAGTGTAAAAATCCATATTTAAAGAGCGTCCTCAGCCCAGCTCCACTCTGTTCCCGTGGATCTTTTGTCAGTCCGAGTTTGTGGGGCAGCCCCGAGGGCAGGGACCGAACCGTTGCTGTGATGCTCCTGCTGATTTCACAGCACCCTCTGTGGCTCCGTGCGATTGCGTGTTCGTAGCCGAGGATGTGCTGGAGGCTGTGGGTGAGACACACTCAGGACCCTGCTCAGGATATGGCTCATGGCTTTCTGCCAGAGGGAGCAGCCAACATATAAAGAATATGGATCGGAGAGGAGGGCTTGCTGCATGGTGGTGGTTTGATCTCCTTTCAAACCAGCTACTGCCACCATCTGAAAGGGACACCAGAGCTCAGACAACTCCCTGGTGCATCTTCCCCGCTGGTTGAGCCAGACAGTAGCAGGTCAAGTTGCTCAGTTGCACGTGCAGAGCTCTGGAAGGTCTGGCCTTGCTTTGCTTTTCTGTCCTTTGTTTGACGGAGGCCTCAGCACAGTCCGAGACCCCACGGAATCCTCTTTTGCAGGGGTGGGAAGCAGCCTCCCTTCCAAGAAAGCGGCCGCCCCGATTCACACCGGTACCATCGTGGGGATCGTTCTGGCGGCGTTGCTCATTGCAGCCATCGTCCTGGCTGGGATCTACATCAACAGCCACCCCACCTCCACCGCTGCCCTCTTCTTCATTGAGGTGAGTGCAGAACCTTATCTCTGGCTGGTTTTGTCTTCAACACACATCCCAACCCTCTGGAGAAGAGAGCAAAGAGGAGCTTCAGCAGAGTTCCTATCTCAATTTCTTTTCATGGTCCTGCAGGCACAGCTAATCTCCCAACCTCCAGCTGATGATGTTTTAAACTTAGGCTCGCTCTCCCTCCCACACTGTTTTATTTTGCTCCCTTTCACACGTTGCCTTGTTTTTCCCTCCCCCGTGCAACGTTAGACTCTTCCACCCGCTCGCACGAGCGGTTGGCGCGCAGGCGGGCCGGAGGGCTCCGTCGGAGCTGTGACATAACGGAGCTCACTGCCTTTGGAATTGCCCAGCTGGAGTTTTGTGGACTAAAATCGTCCCACTTCCCTGCTAGATGTCACGCCACCAGCTCCTGTGTAAGTGGTGGTGTGAATGCTCTAATTTTTAATTCTCGGAAAGACAGGGGGGTCCCACATTCCCCATCTGCCGTTAAAAGCCGGGAGAGCGCTCGGCAGAGCATCCCGAGGCGGTCGGAAGGGGGCTGAATCCTGGTGCAGGAGCTGCTGCGGAGGGAGTCCGCGACGCTTCGCCCTCAGCCTTTATGGTCGCTCGCTGGCTTTTCCCTCGAGCTCCTGTCTCTGCTCCCCCTGCCCTGTTTGCAGAGACACCTCCAGAGGACTGGTCTGCGGGGCCTCTCCCAGTTTAGGACCTGAGCACTCGGCCACGTTTAATGCGTTTGTTTACACCCGGCTGGGAAGGGGCAACGCAGTTGTGTCAATTTTGGAGACAGAGAGAAGACACAGATGATGTGTCCGTGGTCCCAGGGGAAGCCCGTGGCCATCCGCGGCGGCCACCCCGGGCACAAGCCATCCTTGTTCCGAGATTTCACTTAAAATTTCCATTTCCTCCCCACTCCCCGTTTTAACCTTATTAGCGGGGTCAGCTCAGTGAGATCAGTGCATTGTAGTGAACTCTCCTAAGCATGAAGCGATTTTTAAAAATCGATTTTTATTAATAAAAAGGCAAAGCTTCACAAAGACAGCCCTGTTTTTGCGTCAGGACCGAGTTTCCGATTTCCCCGCGGGCTCGGCGCGAAAGGCTCTGCCACAGCTTCTGATGGGTCTTTGTTTCCGTCCGCAGCGAAGGCCACATCACTGGCCTGCCATGAAATTCCGAAATCACACCAACCACGCGACGTACTCGGAGGTGGAGCCGGCCAGCCAGGAGAAGGAGGGCTTCGTCGAAGCAGAACAGTGCTGAGCGCTTCTCCCCCTGCGTCTCGAACCTCCCATGTCTCAAGTGTTGGAGTCTTCTGTTATTCTACTGCAAAGTCTTTCCCCTCTTGGAAAAGAAAGAGCAAGCAGAGGAAAAAGACCCAATGGAGCCTTTTGAAAAGGATGAGTCAGGGCGAGGGGAGGCTGGACTCGCCTGGATTCCCCGCGGCAGCAGTCGGTTGTGACGTCGGACTCTGCCCGCAGCCCGGCACCGGAGCCCTGGATGCGGTGGTAGAAAAAAGTGCAGTTGAATTTTTAGCTTGGCGTGGGTTCTTTGTTTCGTGGTTGGGTTTTTTCCCCCCCTGCTGTGTGTGGCTGACCCCTTCCCTCCTCCTCCGGGAGCCTTAACAGGGGCAGCGAAGCGGGGACGAATCCCAGTACGGGAAAATACGCGGTTGCCTCAAGCCCCAGTCTCCTGGGGTGAGCAAACCAGTTGATTTTTGCTGAACTCTGGCTCTGCCTGCACTCAGGAATGTTGGGCTGGTTGTCTCTTCCCCTCTCCAGGGAGAGGCTGGGTCCCTGGGGGTAGGTGCTGGTGGTGGCTCCGGAGAGGAAAGGTTGGCTCTCCAGGGCTCACCTCGCTCTCCCATCCCCTCTCCCCCAGCTCTGTCCCTTTCTCCCCTCTCCCCTTTGCCTTCTTTTTGGGGTGGGCAACATTTAATTTTGTCTTCATGGCTGAGAAGCCTTGTGCCCTTGTCTTTCCATCCTGCAGTTGGTCTTCCACCACCGTGGCTTCACCTCCCTGCCCTCCCCCTCCCTTCAAAGCAACATCTTCCACCCCCTGCTCCGGAGAAAGGGAAACCTGATTTATTTTAAGGGCAAAACCCTGCGGAGGCTTCACCTTCAGGATGTGTGCGAGCCAAGGGCTCTGATGCACGTTTTGGCATTTTTAGTTTGCTAAATTACTAACTACAACCCTTACCCCAAAGGAGACTGGAAAAAAAAAAATCTTAGATTCCTTCAAAATACATCCTGGTGGCCTGGCCACTAATCCAGCAGGAGCGGAGTAGGTTTTGATGGAAGACGATGGGGACGGAGCACTTGCAAAAGCAGTGTTCTCCCACGGGGTAAATCCTGAAGCAAATCCAAGCTCATTCCTGGGCATTTCACATCAATAAGGAGTGAAGGCACACATGCCTCGATGCCACAGAAAATCTAAAAATCACCTTGGTTTTTAGAGCCTACTCAAATCAGTGGAATTTTTCTTTTTTATTTTATTATGTCTGTGAAAGGTCTCCGGTCTGGATTTGCACATATATCGTGATTGCAGAAGCTGACCCTAACTAAGGGCTTGGACACTAGACCTCTCAGGGTTTTCTACACTTTCTGTGCAATCAGAATTCAAGACTAATCTGCAGAAATCCTCTACTCTACTCCCACAGACACCAGCTGCAGGATTGGGCCCCGAACTGGGGAAAGCTTGTGTAAGAAAAGAGAGAATCCAAAGTCCAGAGTCAGGGAAAGTTTTCTTTCTCCCACAAAAAAAGGTGTTGGTTGTATGGGGCTTTTTTTTTTTTCCTTTTTTTTTTTTTTTTAAATTTTCTCTTGATCCTCAGTTATTTATTCTGATAATCATGTTTGGTGCATATTTTATCCACTGGCTGGTTCAGCTGTCACTGGTGGTGATTACTGCCAAAGGCAGGGTCTGTCTAATTAATGTTTTCCTTCTCATCTGCTGAATTTATATAGCCATTAAAGATAAATATGGATGCTTTGTGGCATTTAGACCCCAGATTATACTTTCTCATCCGTAGCCACCAGGGAGACTTTCGCTGCATCTTATTATGGCATAAAGGCACCAAAATGCTCCAACAGGATAAGTCAGACTGAGTCGTGCCAAGTTGTTATGGCCCAGACAGTCTCTCTTTAGACATATTTTGAAGATAAACTTTATTCCCAAATAAAGCTTTCAACTGGAAGGTTGCTTTTTTTTTTTTTTTTCCCTGAAGTAGAAAGAATTCAAAGGGATGCTGTCATCTAGTTCTTGCCCAGGATCTGATCTCCTTTGAAATGGTTATGAGCTGGTAAGGAATGTTCTCTGGATTTAACTCTTCTCAAACAATGGCCTTGTTTTTACTGGTTTTCTGAAGATGCACACACAGCACCAGGAAGATTTCGGGTCCTCCTCTTCCCCTACCACCCCTAGAAATGCTGGGTAACATCCAGCGATCCTGAAACGCTGCGAATTTTAAAGAAAACAGACTTTAAATAGAGTGCAACCGAGCTGTGTAAATCACTGCTGCATTACTGCAGCCAGGATCTTAGAAGGATTCAGAAGAGGATCAGATACTCGGGTGGAGCATGACCCCATCCAAGTGCCATAGCACAGAGATAAGTAAAATACCTGTACTTCAGGGGAGATGCCACGTTCTGAGTGCCTGGAGTAAAAAAGACACTTTTTGGGTTTTTTTTCCCCCTTTAAGGCAAGAAACAAAACAAACCAGGCTGTTCCGTCCGTAGCTGTGCAACAGATGCTTGGTCTACCTTCTACTGAGGAATATGGTTTGGGGTGTTGTCAGGTGGAGCGTTAGCAGCTCCAACTCATCATCTCTAAGGCCTCATGGTAGAGTAGATGGAGAAATTCCTGCCCATGGTCACGTGTGTGCTCTGAGCTGAAGGTTTGGACCCAACCAGCGTCTCCTGCTGCCTCGCCTGGAGCAGCAAGGCACTTGGATGCTGTGTCTCAAGGAGGAGAAAAAAAAAAATCTGTCCTACCTTTGGACATGAGGCACTTGAAGGTGACGTCTGGGAGGGCGCAATCTTTTCTGAATACTCTTTCCACGTGGCTTCGTAGTGGGAGAGAAGAGGTGGTCTCTTAAATTCCAGAAAGCCCAATGGTAACGTTGCCAGTGCCTAAGAGAAAGGAAAAAAGAAAGAAAAAACCAAACCAAGCCAAACGTGTCGGGATCAACACTCCTCTCCCATCCGTGTAACTCTGACTTCGACGCCGGTTGATCTTCCTCGCCTGGCGTGCCGAAGCAAGCACGTGATGATGGCCACCATGACAGAGAGTTTGATTTTGCTTTTCATCCTGTGGTTTCTCTAGCCACATCCCGAGGTTTTCCTCGGGATTCTGATGAACCCAGCATCTGGGCTTGCTTCAAAGCAGACGGCGTAACGCGCACGTGCGTATCGACCTGTGTATTTTATGGCTACAAAACGGGCTGTGGCTGTTAGCTGGGCTCGGGCTGGTGCTCCACTGGTTAAACGGGGGTGCAAAATGCAAACATGACATCACGTAACATGACATCACGTAACATGACATCACGTAACATGACATCACGTCGCTGGGAAAACACAGCGCAGGGTTTGCCAGCGCCAGGTTGGTTCTGCTCCTGCAAAAGTTGGGGGCTAAACAACCCCCCCCTCCAACTCCTGACATCGATGGGGCAGGACCCAGATAAAAAATATTCTCGTGGTAACTACAGGCCTACTTTCCACATACTTGAATTTACAGCACAGCCGGACTATTTCGCGGGACTAAAGGCACTTTAAATGTCTTTTAATGCAATGTATTTGCTATGGATTATCTGCATGGAATACAGTCTTAATATTAAAAAAAAAAAAATCTTCCTTTTGGACTGCTTTGTTTTCAAAATAAAACATGGAAAGGATTCTTGGTCCTGTGATGTGAACTTCTAAGCAGGATGGGAGTTGTTTTCACCTTGTATTCTTTTAATTGACATGATAAGAATACAAGTGGGTTTTTTTTAAAGACATCCTTTTCTGTCTTAGTAATAACACATCATATCAGGAGGTGTTCCCAGGACACATCTAGGATAAAACTAATGTAACTGAGATTTGAATCAAGACTATAATTTTCTTCTTATTTTATTCTGCTCAGCTTTTTAGGTTTGTTTTTTTTTTTTTTTTGCAGGCTTTTTAGGCTTCTGAGCTTGAACAATGAAGTTTGCTCAGCCCATTTGACTTTTTGACAGTAGTCAGGTTTAGTGTTCTGATCCCTGGACTAGCACCAAATTATTTCAGAAATGTAAATCACTTTAGAGGTCGTTATCTGAGCTGTCTGGGTAGCACCTCCAGGTTTAGGCTTCCTTCGCTATTGTACGTTAAAATACGAAGAAATCGGTACGATGCAGTAACCAAAAGGAGATGATGAACTGTAGGAAAAAGCCCATCATGCAATTAACTATGGATATCAATAGATTGATTCCCGTGGGAGCTTTGATAGCGCTGCTTCCCTGTGTGTTACACCTTGAGTAGGTGATAAGGGCATAGCCAGAGCAAGGACTTACCTGTAACCCTTTCCATGCTCTTACCTTGCAAACTGCTGCCCAAGGCAGCCCAGAAATGGGAGCAATTCAATCCTGCTGCTTCACAGCCCCTACAAGAGGCACCGTGAGCCTCGTTAGAGACATCGACACAGAAGGATGCTCATGAAGGCAGGACGGAGCTGGAGTTGCAGTTAAGGTGCTGGGTCGTGGTCCAGGAGATGGAAGTCTCTGATAGTAAAAGATCTCCTGGTATCTCAGCTGCTCATCTGTAATATGTGAACGAAACCACCGTGTTTTCCCAGGGCTATTTAAATTGTAAACCCCCCAGCCTGGGGCTGTTTCATAGCATGTCCTGTGCTCAGCCTTGATTCTGCTCAAGGAGCTAAATGTGTAATTTTTTAAGCAGAACTTTGTCCCTGCAGCCCTTCTGCAGTGAATGTCACCGTCTTTTGTACCTCCTTTCAATGGCTATGACCGTTTTGCAGTATTGGAAAAAGAAATAACATATCAGCTTTTTTTCTTTTTCCCCTTCCCCTTCCCAAGGCCCTGTTCATCCCCTCTGCCCCAGGAGTCTTCTCCAGGTTGGGAGAAACTCTGCTAACACAATACAAGCAGCTATATGTTAATTTAAACATGAGAACAGAATTCTGCTCTCCCAATGCCTTGTTCTATTTTTCTGAGCAGAGATGTAGCAGATACATAATTAGATTATATATACACACACTCTCTCTATTTTTTTATATATATCTACACA